TGTTTCTGTCTCTCCCTCTTCCTTCCTCCCTGAGGTCAATGAAAATATATTTTTTAAAAAAAGAAAAGAAAGAAAGAAACACTGTCACATTGATCTAAAACAGGATCTGGGTTGCCCACATCCAGCAAGGGACAGGCCCCGACTACCTTGGAAGTGACTGTACAAATTAATATATAAAACAACCCAAACGTCCATCAACGATGAATGGATAAACACAATATGGTCCATCCATTCAATGGAATATGACTCAGCCATGAAAAGAAGTGAAGCACTGATTCTTGCTACAATGTGGATGAACCTTGAACACATGACGCTCAGTGCGAGAAGCCAGACACAAAAGGCCACACAGTCTGTGACTCCATTTATGTGAAATGTCCAGGACAGGCACATTCCAGAGACAGAGTGGAGTTAGTGGTTGCCAAGGGCTGGGGGGGTTAGCGGGGGCGGGGATGGGGATGCCTGCAAAAGGGGATGGGGCCTGTTTTAGGGCTGATGGAATGTTCTGGAATTAGAGGTGATGGTTGTACAGCTGTGTGGGTGGATTGTGTGGTGTATGAATGACATCTCAATAAAGCTGGTAAAAATAAATGTATACCTTTATAGAGCAGAAATGCTGACCCCCTCACCAAGGGCCAGGCCAGGGTCAGAGCACGGGTCCTGCCCTGCTGGCCCTGCCCTGAGACTCTCCATGATCAAAAGGATTTGAACACAAACTACTAGCACATCACCTTTTCATTCCCTGCAAGCCCTCTGCAAGCCCCTTCCCTTCACTCAGCCTTCAAGGCCCCCACATCACTGACCCCCACCCCCTCTGCTCACCCAAGCCGGGCTCCGAGGCGTGGCCCCGTCCCACCACTACCCTTGTCCACTCAGTGACCCCCACACAGCCCGGCCTCGCTTTGGTCCTTACCTAATCTGCCCTCCACAAGGCCTGGCTTGGTTTCTACCTCTCAATTTTCAGCCCAATCCATACTGTCCCAGAGACGGGCTTTGACTGTCCCTGAATTCTTGCTTGAAACCCGTGGGCAGGAGACAGGCATCCCAGCCCGATTTCACACTCCTTAGACTCAAGACCTCTGCTTAGCCATCTGATGCTGCACACAGACCCTTTGGTGGCATGGCCAGGGCACCTTCCAGCCTCTCTGTGCGTCCAGGGACTGGGCCACCTCTCTCTGACCAGGACAGCCTGGCCCTGTGCATGGCTCTGGCACCACAAAACTCTGAAATCAGGTCTATGCCCACCCAGACATTGGGTCCTGCTCCCCTGACTTTGGCACTTGTCTCTGAGCTGCCCCCACGTGCCCCGTCTAAGGCTAGACCAGGGGTGGGCAAACTTTTTGACTTGAGGGCACAATGGGTTCTTAAACTGGACCGGAGGGCCAGAACAAAAGCATGGATGGAGTGTTTGTGTGAACTAATATAAATTCAAAGTAAACATCATTACATAAAAGGGTACGGTCTTTTTTTTTTTTTTTTTTAGTTTTATTCATTTCAACCGGGCCGGATCCGGCCCACGGGCGTAGTTTGCCCACGGCTGGGCTAGACCCTGACTAGCTCCTCACCAATCTGGCTCCTCACCTGCAAGAGTCTCTTCTAGCCCTAGCTGGTTTGGGTCAGTGGATAGAGCGTCGGCCTGTGGACTGAAGGGTCCCGGGTTCAATTCCAGTCAAGGGCACATGCCCAGGTTGTGGGCTCAATCCCCAGTGGGGGGTGTGCAGGAGGCATCCGATCAGTGATTCTCTCTCATTGATGTTTCTATCTCTTTCTCCCTCTCCCTTTTCTCTCTGAAATCAATAAAAAAATGTTTGTTTGTTTTTAAAGAGTCTCTTCTTGTGCCTGGCATCAGCTCTCACTGCTCCCCTGCTCAGACGCCACCCATGGCTCCCCATGGCCCCAGCTGGGCACTCGAGGTCTGTAAGGACCTAGCCCCAGGAGCTCAAACCAAAGAGTGCTCCCTCTCCCAGTGCTTTCCCACCTCTCGCAGAAACGCACAGGCCACTCTTTCTACCAGGTGCTCCCTTCTGTCTACCGGGTCACCCCTTAAATATCTTCCACAGAAAAGGTCCATGGTGGACAGGACTAAAAACCTTACTCTCCACCTCGTCCTTTGAGGCCTTCTAACCCAGCATGGGGCTAGGATGGCCAGGAGGGAGTGTTTCTCAAATGCATGGATAAGACACTTCCTTGGTGGAGGAAGGAAGGACGGGAGCAGGGTCCCAGACTTGAAAAGAGGTGATGTGATTTTTTTTTTCAGAGCATCAACCCGTTTCCCAGCATCAAAATCTGAGATGCTTGAGGGTGGGTCTCACTTGGGGTTGGTATTACAAGATCCAAGTCCATATGGCACCCACTCCTCTTCTAACTGTGCCTCACCTGGGAGGGGGCTAGCTAGGTTCATGTCTCCACTCACCGAATGTGAAAAGTGCGGCCCAGGGAGGGGGAGTGACATACCCATTCTCATAAGGAGTCAGAACACTCCCTTTCCAAGCCCTACTCTCAAATCAGCAGTCACAGAAGAGGGGGGGGGGCGCGCAGGGGCAGATGCCCCCAGGGGCCAAGGCTACCAACCAGGTTGGAAAGCTGATGCCAGAATACCTAGGAACCCTGTAGGCCAAAGTCCCTGGGACATAGGAAGGTACAAAGATTCCCTTCCCACCCTGGCCGCTATGAGGAAGCCCAGCAAACCCAAGCCCTCCCCCTAGCAGCTGTGGCCTCCAGCATGTCAGATCATCTCTCCATGCCTCAGTCTCCCCACCTTACAGGGCTGCTGTAACGATCAAGAGAAGTAATTCACAGGGACAAAGCACTCAGAGCAGGTGTACAGCAAGTGCTCACTAAATGATTTTAAAGCAAAGAAATGATGCCAGCACTTCTGGAACCACATTCCCATGTTCCTGCCTCTACCTCTAGTATTATCTGCTTGTTCCTTCCCTTCACATCACTCGCCGTTTGAATCGAACCCCCTGGTTTTAGAAGGAAACATTTCACTGTTACCAAGACTGGGAAAACAAGAAGCCTCGGCCACAGAGTAAAAACACTGAAAAATAGACAATGAAAACGAGAGCTTGTTATTCAATTATCACTGGATATTGCTGCCTTTTAACGGGCTGTGTCTCTCATTAAAAAGGGAGATTAGCAAGTGTGAAAGAAACATTAAGGATCCAGTTAGCACCCAACAGAGACTTCTTAAAGATGTCCAGGCCTGAGGGTGGGAAGAAATCTGGGAAGGTCCTGCCCCAGCTCCACTCTCTATCTAGCTCAGCCGTGGGCAAACTACGGCCAGCAGGCCGGATCCGGGCCATTTGAAATGAATAAAACTAAAAAAAAAAAAAAAAAAAGACCGTACCCTTTTATGTAATGATGTTTGAATTTATATTAGTTCACACAAACACTCCATCCATGCTTTTGTTCCGGCCCTCCGTTCCAGTTTAAGAACCCATTGTGGCCCTCGAGTCAAAAAGTTTGCCCACCCCTGATCTAGCTCCTATCCCAGGGCTGGAGCCCTGCCTTGAGCCAGGATACAGCTTGGGCATTTGAGAATGGCTGCCCTCAGCAAAAATATCATTACTTTACCAGCCAGACCCTGAGGCTCCTAGAGGAGCAGTGCCTCACGGGGGCCAACACCACAAGTCCTCCCAGGGCAGGACTGGCATCCAGCTCTCCCCACCAGGAGAGCGTCCCTGCTCTGCCACCCCGACCCTTGTCCCATCTCTGCAGCATCAGCCATCTATCCCGACAGCGCGGTGATCAGCTGCTGCTTTTCAATAAATCCTTAAAGTCTTAAACTAATGAAAATATGTTTAATCCTTAAATTCTTAAACGAAGGAAAACGTGTTTAATCCTTTAACAACATTTTGTAAAATTCTTAAATTTATTTTTTCAGGTTCTCTTTTTAAAATTTTATTTTTAAAAGAAAGTTCCCAGGACCACCACAAGCCTTACAACCATCTCCTGTGACTATGACAAAATCCACGGAAACAGAACGAGGTGAGTGACTTGTTCTAGGGGCTGTTGCCCTTGTGCCTGGAGCCTGCTCTGCCATCATGGGAAAGGACCATGAGCAAGGAATGAGCGAGGGGCAGGTGTTCCAGTCAGGGCAGCACCAGTGCAGCCCCTCCTCACCATCGTCAACCCAAGCTTTCTCTCATGCCTATTTGAGCCAGGTAATGCTGAGTCCCACCCCACATCTGTACCCAGAAAAG